ATTATGATGTGATATGCCGCGGACTGTACTTAATTTTACTCTGATCCGGTTACTTATGTTGTGGCAGATATTTAAGTAAGCTTTCTTAACGCTAATGTTATAATAGTCAGATTGCTCTGAAGATGGGAGGTGATATTCTATTAATGTTCACGTTCTCACAGTCGGTGATTTTTGCCGGCCGTCTTTCCTGCAACGGCAGCTTTTCTGTATTTCCTTTCTCCTGTAATATGACTTGATCGCTTTAAACTCCGCACACTGAGCTCTGATTGGTCAGCAGGCAGTGCTTTCACTGAGTTGAGCTCTTAGCCTGCAACCTAACCTGCTCCGGGGCAGGTTAGCCGCTCAGCATAAGTTACCATGGAGATCTAGCCTGCTAAAAAGAGAACCAGCTTCGTAGGACCGGAAACCCAGAGTTTTCCCTGAAGTTAGCCGGCTAAGCGAAAATCCTACTTCGTAGTACAGGCCTCTGGGATATCTAGAGGCAATAACTACACCACATTAAGTATGTTATGTAAGGTATGGGAATGCGTGCAGGTAGAGATACCTGTCTGAGTTTGAGGTAGAAGGTCTCACTGAAGGTCTTGCGGCTGAAGTACCAGAAGCGCTCGTTTGATGGATAAACCCTGAGCAGAGTTTCCATCAGGAAGCGAACTGGCTCCAGCACCTCAGTGACCACCAGGTCCACTGCCACCGTCATGTACACCTGCTTATCTGGAGAGAAACAGAGAGAGAGAGAGAAAACAAAAGCAATTTTATTTTTGGGGGATATTATGTGGATAAATATAATTATATTTATTTCACTGGGTGAAGCCTGTTCGCCAAATGTTTGCAAATGAAAAAAGGTTTTTACAGTGTAGTGTACACATGATAAACAGCTGTAAGTACAACACAGCTCTCATTGTTTAACCAGCTAATGAATTGTCCAAAAGCTGACACACAATGATGAGTCTGAACCAACCTTTATTACCTATGTCAATGTAGTGTACCATTTGTTTGATTTTAAGAACTAGTCAAATCTAACTTTACAGTTAAAAAGAAATCTATAGATACAGGCCTATGTGTTTAGCTTTTCATCGCCTATGGTGGCAGGAAGTGCATACTATGTATCCTGTGGAGATGCCACACCCCCTGGTGGATAAGGAAATAACTCTATAATGTCCTCAACTCAAGAAATGACCACAATAAACGTATTTCTTTAGGTGGGAAAGTTAAACCTTGGGGCTTGAACTTGTGCTAATAGTACTGAGGATTTCTCTTTATAATAAAGAAATATAATACAGAGGTGTAAGCCTCAAACTAACTAATCACATAATGCTTATGACCTTTGGACAGTTTAATTATAAGGTGAGAATAAACTAAAGGAAAAAAGACAGAAGTGCTGGCAAAGTTATCTCCAAGTAGGGAGGATTTATTATTGTAATAAATTTGCAGAAGGCAACAAATTAACTACCACCATCTATATTTAAAGATATTTGTGTTGGTCCTTTGGCCTTTAATTGATAGAAGAGCTACAGAGGATAAGATGGAGGGGGGATGCAGCAAACAGCCAGCATATCAATTATGATAATGTGTAGCTGTGTGTGTGTGTGTGTGTGTGTGTGTGTGTGTGTGTGTGTGTGTGTGTGTGTGTGTGTGTGTGTGTGTGTGTGTGTGTGTTGTATACTGTCAGACTCCCATGAGGAAGACTGCTCTGACATACCTGCCATCTACCTTCAAGTCAAATTCTCAGAGCTTTTGAGTCAAGTGGTCTAGTTTGTTAGCTGTAATGGATTTGGCAATGCAAGCGACTGCATACACTCTGAACGCACATACATGCTTCCCTTTTAAAATACAATAACATTGGTCCCTCTTCTCAGGTACAGTACATGAGGATATTGAACAAACGTAAATGTGAATTTATGAACACATTCTGATTCACGATCACACATTTCAGGCAGCTGCTTAAGTTTGACTTTAATAGCCATATTAAGGTTTAATGAATTTGGTGTATAAGAGAACAAGTCAGAATAGCAATACAAGAGGAAACAAGATAAATATGCCAATTGGGATTAGATGGAATGAAATAAAGTATAGAATACAAAATGTAGCACTGTATACATACAAGAACATTGCTTGTCTTTTAGTGCAGAAATACAAAATACCCAATACAGTTTTGTAAACATATTGTGTACCTACTGTACTTCATGAATTTTCAATTTGATGTTTTCTTTTTTTAAATGTATGTTCTAGAAGTAAAAATGTGTAATACAGTAGACATAATAAATAAACCCTCCCTCTTTATCTAACTTAATGAAAGCAAAGCAAAGAGCCTTTATAGGAAGGACATGTTTTAACCTCAATTATCTGCACACAGTAGCTTAAATGCTAGCAAACACTTCAAAGTGATTTGCATAAAATTAATCTCCTAAAATGTTGCTTTCAATTTCATTTCTCACACGAGTAAGTGTCCACATCTCTTTTGGCTTTGCTGACTAACAAGATGTGATCACACTAAAATGTGCGAAAATGTGCCAGGCCTGGACAAGTAATGGGTTACAAGGACAGGTCCTTCTCTAGCATAACATTATCACATTGAGGCTTCAATGCAAGCACTGCATCATTTTTAGACATGACCTTGAGCTTTGTGCAGTCCCACATCACATTTGTGACAAATGGAAATAATGTTATACTTCATATGTGTGTATGCACAACCGGTACACAGGCACATGCTGGTCTCAATTAACACAGATCATAAATGTAGCAAAGGCTTGTGGACAAGGACTCAAAAAGCTAGAAATGTCTGCCATGTGCACTAAATTGTATTAAAGAAGGAAACTGTAAATTGAAAACAATTTACAAACTTTGAAACATTTTACCAGGTTATCTTGACGCATAGTTGTAACTTACATATTTTCTTTAAGTTCATTTTGACATTCAAAAGTTGCTGCGTTTGGTCAATAATATACAACTGCAAACGTGTCGTTTTTTACAGCTATCTTGGTTTTAAAAAATAAATATGCGCCTCACCTTTAGGGGTGTCTTCGTTCAGCGGCTGGAAGGCTGCCATGTTTGGGTTCCATGTTCCTGTGATCACATAGGCCTTCCCATCAGAGCTCTTTCCCATCGACTCCTGTATAGGAATTAATAAATGGAATAGGTTAAAAAATACAGTACAATTTCAAATGTAAAATATCAATACAGGTGGACATTATATTGTAAAAAGGCACATTTATCAGCTTCACAAATATATACTAGGACAAACAAAACTGAGAAAAACAGAGGACAGTAATAATAACTGGCTGAATATTAACCTGGCTATTGACTCTGGTTGTGCTTATTTAGGTCTAACAAATGAAAGGTCTGGTTAAACAAGCTAAGGTGGGTTGAGCTCACCATGTCTAGTAGATGCATGTCACTGTTGCACACTTTCTGTCCTGGACTCAGCAGCATCCCAAAACACCTAGAGCGAAGACACAAGAGATACAAAACACAAATCAATAATCACAAATGTCTCTGCTGAGGTACATTCTGGATTCACCAGCAGAGGGGATCACAGCCGTTGGGTGGGACTGAACTACAATCATAAATATTTTACTGTTGATGCGTTATGAGCTTTCAAGCATCAAGAAGACAATAACTGGAAGAGCCTGTGCATTGCACAATTTAAAAGTAATACATATATTTTAGCCACAGTTTTAAAATATCTTGATGACCTGTGTAGCATGTTTAAGCCGATTCAGGGTGATACAAGATCAACTCTCCCTGCCTCTTCTGGCTTTGCCCCTCACATAGAATAGGGAAGCATGGACACACAGGAAGTTAGCAATAGAGAGTAAAACAGGTACAGGCACACTTCTAAAACACATATCTGAGGTCTTGCACTATACTGAAGCAGCATCGCATGTGTTGTTGCAATTCATCATAACATCCTAATCACTTTGCTATAGTCTCTTCAGCTTTAGGTGGAGGTGCCATCCAGTGGTCAGCATGGGAATCTCCCAATTCAGAAATGTATTATATAAGAACATTAGAATAACTTATCCCAGCTCTTAATGAGGTGTGTTCATATTGGGCTTAAAAGTATAAAGGCTGAGTGTCATGCAGAGTGATTTTTCAAAAGGTTTTGTCAGTTTGTATAGAAATATTTCCTTTCTTTAAAACAAAGTGTCCCAGGGTTAAAATAGAACTTATTGCATCTTTACACATGATGCCAAATCATAGAACATTTCAAAGGAATTAACCATCAAGACAGAGGCTATAACACAGATGAATATGGATCAAATAAAGTGTTGTCAAACATGTGCCTAGCCCCTCAGAAAGGAATGAGTCCTGAACACAATAGAGGTTTCCATTGGCACTAAAAATAAAGGAGAGGGCAGGTGTCTCCCTCTGATAGCGATAGGAGGTGAGGGAATGAAGAAGAAAGGAGGGGAGTGTTAACTGACCTACTTCTTTGTTGCTGCCTGCTAGAGCACGTAGAGCCATACAAATGGGGGAGACTGCAGGAAGTGGGAAATGTTAAAGTAGTATTTTAATCATGCTCTATTTGGGTAGCTCGACTCATATTACACCTGTGTTGTCCTTGTTGTTTTTCCTCTGCAATATTTTACCAACAAGTATGTGCACTCACTGTCCTTATTAAAAGAAAGCTAATCTGGTGGTTTAATCTGGAAAGTCATAATATAACAAGGCTTAATATTTTGTATGGCTTAGAAGGAAGTTCCAAACTTTTGAAAAGCTAACCCCTCTGGGAAGATGTGTGAGGAATAAATGCGGTGCAATACATGCGACCCTGCCGACCCATAATAAAGAACAGCCAGTGGAAGGTTCTCACTGCAGGCCCTCGTCACGCATCACCTCTCTTACAGGGATCCTCACCTCTCGATGCCCAGCTCCTTGTTGCACATTTGCTGAACTGAAACCACAACCTTCTTCTGAACGCTCTGTCGCAGCTTGAAGTAGAATTTATCTCTGTCCTTTGGCACAGGACTGTGGATAGGAAAAAAGGGGGTTATTACACTGAGCAAAAATATAAATGCAACACTTTTGTTTTTGCTCCCATTTTTCATGAGATGAACTCAAAGATCTAAAACATTTTCTATATACACAAAATAACCATTTCTCTCAAATATTGTTCACAAATCTGAAAAGATCTATGAGCACTTCTCCTTTGCCGAGATAATCCATCCCACCTCACAGGTGTGGCATATCAAGATGCTGATTAGACAGCATGATTATTGCACAGGTGTGCCTTAGGCTGGCCACAATAAAAGGCCACTCTGAAACGTGCATTTTTGCTTTATTGGGGGGGTCTGGGGGGGGTCCGAAAACCAGTCAGTATTTGGTGGGTTAGGGTTAGGGTAATGTTGTGAATCGAGTGGCCCATGGTGGTGGTGGGGTTATGGTATGGGCAGGCGTATGTTATGGACGATGAACATATATACATATATATATAACATATATATAACCTTTAGGACTTTGGTGTAATTCAAACGTTGTCAAATGTAAGTGTACTGTGGTGTTCTTGATTGCGATTCTTAAGTGTATTTCCATATACCTTGTTCCATGTTATTGTTCTCTCTGTCTTAATGCCAGTGTCTTTAATACTTTGTCATTATCTTAGTATAAATAGCACAGTTAAATATTAAATAAAACGTTTATTTAATATAGTCTTCTGAGTTTATCACATTTTACAGGTTGTGTCGTTTCAGAAAAGTTACTGGCTGTTTTATTTCAGAGGAGAACAGAACAAAGAAAATCCATCACTAAAACACAAAAAAATTTGATAGCTAGTGAAAATGTAAAAATGGTCATGCTGTGCCATTAAGTTTGATGCATTTTGAGGATGAACAATATCATTCCGATAAAATAGCAGAGCTGCAGCACATTACAGTTTTACAGATATTGAGATATCTGTGATACCAACAGCCCTGAGCTGATAAGAAACACACACACAAAATGCATTCATGTTCACGTCTAACTCACATGTATGCCAAGGCTTTCCTCAATATATGGGATAATGGCGCCATGTTGTCATACTATAATGTCGTACCATCATTCTTCTTTCATAAAAGGGTGTTTGATTCTCATGCAATTTGATATAATATATGATATAAGATGTGAAGATAATATTGTTTTTGTACATGTACACAACCATTATAGTCTGAGACACCTTCTTAAAGTAATAAATGGGTTTGTATCTGCACATATGTGTGAGGATATGTGGACCAGGTACCTGAAGTTGCCTTTGCCATCGTCCTCTTTGATCTCCAGGGTGACAGTGAAGGTGTAGAGGTCGCCTTCAGGCGGGCCGGAGAGCGCCGTGTCCCTGATGTCTGCCGGCCGCGCAGAACGCCGGAAGGCTGTGGAGAAACTGTACAGGATACGACTGACCTGTTGGAAAAGCAAAAGAAACACAAAGGTTTGTAGGCAAGAGACAGGTAAGTACACTGAAAAGATTAAACAGTGACTTTAATTTAATGTCATATGTCAACAGGTTCCACATAATTGTTAGTTTAACGCAATAGTATGAAATTGAAACTTTTGTTTTTTATTTAAACTTAATATTATAGCTTACAATTAACCTAATACAATTATGTGCTATCTCTTTACATTTTTCTAAGTGTACCATAGATTTGGAATTTAAAAAAAGTAATTGTTAAGAAAATATTTACAAATCTGAATGGAACTGATACATTTATAAATGCAAGCTGAAAAGATACAGTTAAATGTTGCAAAAGTAAATTAGTAAATAAAAGACCAGAACTGGACAATTTAATACTGAAAAGAGTATTAAAGAACTGGGCATCATTGAGAAAACACGAGACAACAGCGCCCTCAGCTGGTTCACCAGTGTCAGCACTTATAGGGCTGTGGTAGTAATACAGCCTCACCATTTTTACATCAACATAAAGCGCACATGCTGTCAGGTCTACTATACTGCAAGTTATAACAGAAGATATCTATGGGGTTGATATCTCTAGAGCCTTTTATTAATGCAACTAACTCACGGCCTCTTTGATGTGGCAGGAGAAGACGTGGATCTGGAAGTCCTCAGCGCTCCGGTAACTCTCAGTGAAGGAGAAACAGTCACTTTCCACAGAACCTTCTTTTCCACGGGCACAAAACAACACCTTGTAGATTGGAAATACGGCGATCTCTGTTCCTGAGGCCTGGTCCACAACCCTGAGAAAAAGTGATTCTATTTTAAGTGCAGCCGTCTAACGATAACAGCAAAAGATCTTATTATGTAAATGAATTGTTTTCATTCCAACAACATTTTATTATTACCTAGTTTCTTTTTCCATTTACAGATTACTTTTTCTTTACTTAGGTTACATGACAATCCAAAGCAGTTATCTCAACATTAAAACATCTAAGATTTTGTTTATAGGAAGGTCTGAGATACTTCACACCACCAGGGGGTTACCATAAGTTATTTACAATAATCTTCTACCTCAATAAATGTCATTCAACTTTATATGTATCCCAGCTTCTATTCATTCAGAAAGTAAAGCAATCAGGTCACTCTCGTCTACTTGAGCGGAAATGTGAGTACTTTCAGTGTGGTAAAAAAAAAAAAAGCCTTCCATTTTCATTTTATGACTCGGGATGATTACACAAACTCATTTCCTCTCCAACTGTACTTCTTCTGCGGGCTAACAGTCTTTGAGATAAGGGGCCCCTTTAATATCCACATAATTCAAAGTAAATTCTCTGTAAACACGTTCACCTATTTGAATGTGGCTGTAATACAGTTATACCAGGTTACTGTGATAAACATGACCTACTATTTCACAACAACTCCATCAATACAAGAATATTGTGTGATTTTCTTTACTGCCAATATGTATAAATACAAATATTTTGAACTACACATTTTAATGGAATATCTAACCCCAAAGGGATTATTTGTGAAACAGTTTTTCTGCCCGTGTTTATTTGTTCTCACAAGATGTATTTTCTCTTAAAGGTCTCCTATTATGCTATTTTTAGGCATATACGGTGGGGCAAAAAAGTATTTAGTCAGCCACCAATTGTGCAAGTTCTCCCACTTAAAAAGATGAGAGGCCTGTAATTTTCATCCTAGGTACACTTCCACTATGAGAGACAGAATGGGGGGAAAGAATCCAGGAAATTGCATTGTAGGATTTTTAATGAATGAATTGGTAAATTCCTCTGTAAAATAAGTATTTGGTCACCTACAAACAAACAAGATTTCTGGCTCTCACAGACCTGTAACTTCTTCTTTAAGAGCCTCCTCTGTCCTCCACGTATTAGCTGTATTAATGGCACCTGTTTGAACTTGTTATCAGTATAAAAAGACACCTGTCCACAACCTCAAACAGTCACACTCCAAACTCCACTATGGCCAAGACCAAAGAGCTGTCAAAGGACACCAGAAACAAAATTGTAGATCTGCACCAGGCTGGGAAGACTGAATCTGCAATAGGTAAGCAGCTTGGTGTGA